AATAATTATAATTAGTAATAATAAAGGTGATTGATTCTCAAACCCTTGCTACAACCGGGTACTACATTGTATGCTGGTCATCTATGAACTCTTTGTTTACACAATAACCCTATGGGATTTTATATTACCCCCAATTTTCAAAAGTTTAGACAAATTAGGCAATTCAGTGAAACGTACTGTTGTTCAGGGGTGGGCAGAAGTAGGATTTGAATTAGGACCTGTCTGAAGCTGACTTATTCTCCAACTATGGTCTGATATAAACCCTGTTGTTGAAGAACTTAAATCTGTGTCTTATTATGGGCTGTCTGAAGTTGGGCTATGAATGCACTGAGATGAATTTACCCTCCACATCATGTGGGGCTGGGCTTAATTAATGTCGGTACATCATGTTGTGTACCTTGATAGGAGTAGAATTCTCCCTGCTCTTTCAGAGACAGTTAAAATAATGCAGAGAAAGAGACTAGGACTTTGTATCAGGTCTCTTCACGGGGTTCAATCTACCAGATGCCATGTTCAAAGATTGGTTATAAGAATGCTCAATGATTTCAGTGAGAACCTCACCAAAGAAATAGGAAATATAAAAATGGAGACAGAAAACATAATAAAAAACCAGTCAGAAATGAAGTATACAATAACTGAAATAAAGACGACATTAGAGTGAACCAACGGTATATTAGATGAAGCGGAGAATCAAATCAGTGATTTGGAAGATAAAGTAGCAAAAATATCCAATCAGAAGAGCAACAAGAAAAAAATCCAAAATAATGAAGATAATTTGAGGGGCCTCTGAGACAACATCAAGCATAACAACATTCACATCATAGACCAGAGGAAAACAGAGAGAGCAAGGAATTAAAAACCTATTTGAAGAAATAATGATGGACGACTTCCCTAGCCTGGTGAAGGAAATAGACATACTAGCCTGGAAAGCACAGAGAGTCCCAAACAAGATAGACCCAAAGAAATACACACCAAGACACATCATAATTAAAATGCCAAAGGTTAAAGACAAAGAGAGAATCTAAAAAGCAGCAAGAGAAAAGCCATTAGTTATCTACAAGGAGGCTCTTATAAGACTGTCAGCTGATTTCTCAAGAGAAACATTACAGGTCAGTAGGGATTGACACGAAACAGTCAAAGTAAGGAAAAGCAAAGATCTACAACCAAGATTACTTTGCCCAGCAAAGCTATCATTTAGACTAGGACAGATAAAGAGCTTCCCAGACAAGAAAAAGTTAAAGGAGTTCATCACCACCAAATCAATATTATAAGAAATGTTAAAGGGACTTCTTTACTTCTTCACCTCTTTCTCCCAGCTCCCCAACTTCCCTCCCTTCTCGCTATCATCAGATTGTCTTCTATATTTGTGAAAAAAAAATTCTTTAAACATTCCACCAAACTACTGAGGTGGTTACTCTTGTTATCCACATGTCACAGATGAGATTTAGAGATTATTAATAAATTCCCTAAGATTTCAAGAATATGGGCTGCCCCAGCCTGATGTTACATCCTACCAGGACAAATATATGAGAAGAACATTTTTATTTGGGCCTCTGAATTCCTTTTACTATTCCCTTAAACACTTGGAATATTTACTATAAAACAAAAGCAACCTCCATTGATTAGACCCATCCATAAAATGGCTTTTATGTCCAACTTCCCTTGACAGAGATGTTCTTTTTTCTCCTAATGGACCTGAAAAAGCTAAAGCCAATAGAGTGATGAAACAAAAGCTTTTACTACTTTTAGAATCATTGAATATCTTTTTCGTCTCTTCTGAGGCCTTCTGAAACAATAAAAGCTTCTAATAATTCCTGCCTGGATCCTTATCTCTATTTACCACTGATGCTTCTTGCTTGATTGAAGTCTGGTGTAAATTGAGTGTTTTCACATTTACCCTGAATACCAGAGGGTGCTGGCAGCCAAAGCTGTTTTCTATGGCATGGAAATTTGGGACAGTGGCTGTGTATTTTGAGAGAATACCCAACTGCTGCTGAGAAATCTGTTACTGGACCTCCCAGACACCTGAGCTGGAATGCTGCTGCCAATAAGTGAGTCAGCATGGAAATCAGCCACTAAGACGACAGACTAAGGCCCCTTCACACCTCTTCTTTACACTTCTTACCACTCCCAGCCTCTCCACATCTGTATTTCCTGCTTCCTTCTCCATTCCTTCCAACTTTGATGGGAATCCCAGCCACTTTGAGCTGGATGAGAACTTGGAGGTGACCTACTGCCTTCCACCAAGAGGAATCTGAAGTATGGAGAAAGAGAGGTAGTCCACCTCAGCAAGCCTTAAAGCCTGGCTTCTAAAGCTCCATCTACCATGAACCCTTGCGCTCACTTTCATGACCTGCCTTCTGTATATAGAAAAGTGAAAAAGATCAACAGAATTTCTGTGAGGAAGAACATTGGATGTTTTCAGAAGAAATACTTCAATAAAGTTCCTGGTGCAGGAGGGTGAAACCCCCAAGGATACAGTCAAGCTGTGAAAAACAAGTGCAAATTGCTAAGCATGAGGCCAAAAGAGAAAGGGAGAAGAGTTGGAAGGGGAGAGGGAAAGGAAAAGCTTTCTCTTTCTAAAGAAGAGAATGGAGACTAGACTTTGGGTAGTAAGCACATAATAGAGTACACAGATGTTATATTATTATATTGTTGTACACCGGAAATGTATATAATGTTATTAACCAATGTTACCCTCAATACATTTAATAATAAAAAAATAATTAGAAAGAAAGAGAATGAAGCCATAAAAGGGGGGGGGGCTGTGAGATGTGAATTTGACCCCTCCTGAACAACCCAAAATCTTCAGTAAAATAAACATATACACTCATAAAACATTTGTCATGAGTGGGATTACAGTGGAAACCAACATAAAAAAATAATCAAAGGGCTAAGTTTGACATTTGGCCCGAGCTGTTCAGGGAAGAAACAGTGTGCGTACGTGCAAAAGTGTAGGGGCCAGAGGAAGCCATAAGAATCTCACCCTCTCACTGAGTTTGTAAATATCTAAGGGAGGGCTTTGGATTTGGTGGGGGTTTGAGTCAATTGTACCTAGATCTCCAAAATGCGAAGGCCAACATCTGGGCATAAAGATATATGAAGCTATCTTTGGGGAAGCAGAGGGAGCCTTCCACAATGTAATTTCGCTAACCTAAGGCTGGCCCTGAGGGTCTGGGTCACGAAGCAGAGGAGATAACCTGGCCCAGGACTGAGCATGAAAGACAGAAAAGAGGCAGTAGTCTGTACTAAGAAAATCATTTAGTGCAAAAGCAGGACTTCTTTACAGCTGAACTCAAGTGTGGGTAGGTGGGAGAAGAGAACAGGAAGAGAACACACACTCCAAAAATACTTCTTGATGAACCTGTGTGCATAGTAGCCAGAGACCTAGCTCCACAAGTCAGGTGTCACGTGTGTAAAAGCCAAGGACCCTCAGGTTCAAGACAGTGTTGAATTCAAAGAAACAGTCCAGCAGATGAAACAAATTTATGAACTATTCTCATGTTTACTTGTTTCTCAAATACCATTTATGGAAATCCAATATATATTCCATAGCAATACTTGCTACAATTCTTTTTCCTGTTTTCCTCAGGGTTTGCACACCCTGCAACTGCCTCTTTGTCCAAACTCTCCTTGTTGAAAATTATCTGTGTCTTTATCCCTCTCCTCTCTCCTCTCTGCTCTCTAGCATGTAGATCGATTTAGCCTCTTCAACTTTTATTTTTATTTTCTTATATTATTCTGATTTCCTTCAACAAAGGAGAATCAAGGACCTAATTCAACAAGAAAAATCCTTTCTTTTTCCTTCTACCCCACCAATGTTGATTTGCAATTCTCCTAACTGTGCAGCACAACAAGGATGGGAACAGAGCTGGAAAAATCATAAATCTCCCCCTCAGAGCCAAGGGGGAAACTAAACTCTCAAATGAGAAGGGTAAACAAGGCTGGAGCACACATATTAACACATCTTCTCACTGCCACTGATGGAACATGCATTCTCCAGGGGATTTAACAAATTTTAAACTTTTCCCATGCCTTTAAATCCTGATAAATTTCCCCATTTAGGAGGACTTAGTGGTGATGTTATTGGTGATGCTGACCGCTGCTTCATTACCATACTGGGAAGGTGAGACATCTGAAGAAGGATTCTCTCATTTCTTTCATTGGGAAGTAACAGTGTTAGTCAGCAAAATTCAATAATACTTCTTAACCACATCTAAGAAACCCATTTCAGACTCTGAATTTGGCACTGGTAGACAGATGCTTGCTAAAGACAATTTAATATGGGAATTTCAAAAGCAAATTCTCCTCTGTAGCTTATAAATTTTCCCAGCAAGCCCACAGTTGCATTATGTCACTACTTTATAAAATCCCTAAGAGTTTCTCATGTCCAGGCTTCTCAAGGCCTTGATAGGAGAAGTGATATTCTGAATGTCTGCTTTTGCCTTCCCCAGTGGTGTGAGCAAAATGAACAGTGCAGACGCCTTCACCTGCCTGAGCTGCTAGTGGCCCCACTACACAGGCTGACTCGATACCCCTTGTTGCTGAAGAATATCTGGAAAAGGAGTACAGACTCTACTGAGAAAATCATGATCTACTCCATCAAGGAAAAGGTGGAAAAGTCGATCCGTAAGTCTCTGAGATAAGGGACCCCGAGCTCCAGTAGAAGCTTAATCAAAGAGTTGGTGGGGGGGGCCTTCTGGCCACCAGGAACGATCTGGGCTTCCATCTTAGAAGGTAATTCCAGTGCGTTGAGGTCATGGTCTGGGAAATGTGGATTTGAGTTTGAGGGAATTGTATATCAAACACACACAAAACAATGGGCTCCAGTCACATCCTGGTGAACCCTATGAGAACTCTACCACCGAGTTTACGCAGGACGTGGCTATCTCCAAAGTTTTCAGATGTGAGTTCAGGCAGGAAAAGTTCTACTTCCCAGATGATTGAAGGCACTTTGTTTTTAACATCCCCACTGAGCCCAAACACAAAGCACATGGGAATAAACACCATGGGAAGCCTTTCCGGAGGACAAATTACTATTCATCATTTTTTTTCGGTCACTGAAATCCAGGGCCAATCTAAAATTAATGCCAACTGCAATCTTTAAAACTGAAATTTGGGAATAGGAACAGAGCAAGCCCTGTGACGACTTAAGTTTATCTGAGTAGCTCTGTAAAATGGAATCCAAAGAATTTTGTGATATATGCCCATAAGGCAAGATTTCCTGGGAGCGTCAAAGGGAACAAGTCAAAGCTATGATTATCAGCTGCGAAGAATGATATGTCTTTCTTTTACAAGTTTAAAAGTAAAATGACCATCCAGTTGGGAGTTTCTTTCCTCTTTTTAAAGCTTTTGTTCAAATTCTAAAATGATCCAAGGAACTAAAATTAAGCTTATCAAATGAATAAGACAAAAATTTAATTAAAAGCAGAGTTTTTAAAACTTTCAGAGTAATTTTGAAGATTATTAGTCATTTTGATAGGTTTTTGAGGAAGAGAATAACATCTCTTCTGAGAATTTCTTAATAAAATATGGATTTTCATTGTTGGGGGAAGAGATCCTTGTGGCCTTCCTTTAAGTCTATGAGCTTAAAGATGATAAATTCTCAAGGATTCTCCTAACCATGTGATTCTGTGGGCCTATGCCTTGCCCTTCATGTTCCTAAAAATCATTTAAAAACCTCAGTAGAATATGTTATTAGAAAATATTGGAACATTAATACAAACCGTAAGAAGAGAAAATGTTTTCACCAAAAAAAATAATTATCCTTACCATAAAGGAAATGCATGTTTTATGATTAAGACAAAAATACATGTTCGTTTTAGTTAGTCTGATTTTTTTCATCTTCTAATTATAGGCCATGTTGTATGGGGAATAAGAGAAAGCTACAAAGGACATTATTTGTATTATTTAAATAAAATTGCGCAATACATTTCCAACCTACTGAATTAAATTATTTAAGCTTCATTTTTCTCTGCAAGAGACTAATTCCAAATTAGTGGGTTTTTCTAAGACATTTAGACTGCAAACAATATGTTAAATGAACCTAAAGTATGGTTTTACTACAGGGGCGGTATCTCTAAGTGATTACTGTGCATCTTGGTTAAAATTTATACTGTAATGTCACGTGAATTCAAAAGTATATTTAATGTGTCTTGTTTTTCAGGGGATCTTGAAGGAAAAGTGAAGTGGCTTGACAATTTCCAAAAATTTAGACACCTACAGGAGATTATAGTGTGGCCTCCGCTTTGGGATAGAGATAAAAGGTTTTTCATTCCAGAGGTACAAAACGGATCAATTAAGACTTATATTCCTTTCCAGAAGTCTGGCATTCAGGTGGAAATAGACTAGTCTTTCAAGGTGCCCAGCTGTCCACTTGAAAAATAAATCTAGTTTTGTGAACAAGAAGTAAAGCCTTCTTTCACGTGGCATTGTATGTAGGGAGGCTGACGTCATCACGCCATTCTTGGGGTGGTCCTTCTGAGAGGTTTTCCCATTCTTTCCCATTCTTGTGTCCATCTACTGGCATTTCTAAATGTCCTGATCTTAATAGATAAAGCATATTGCCCCAGCTGCTGGAACAGGTTCTCTTCCAATCACTAACAACCTCTCTTTGATTTTTCTCCCCTGTTTCTCAAGTGCCTGAAACACATTTTTAAAGAACACATGGCAGAAAGCATCCTGTCACCGACCAACAGACACCTTCTCTATGAGGGAAAATTAACTCTTGCAGGTAAATAATTGCTTCCTTTAAAAACTCAACATCTTTGCTTCCTTGTAACGCGTCCAATTGCTGCTAATTGAAGGGTGGGAAGAATTGCATTTGCCTATGGGAGATGTGAATCACAGAACATCCTGTGGAGTCAGGCAGACACAAGCTTAATCAAAGATTTCACAATATAACTAGCTATGTGTCCTCCATTTTCTCTCTGTAAAATGGGATAACTATATCTATCTTGTTGTTAAAATGAAATAACACACACGAAGTGCTTAGCTCAAGGTCTGGAACATAATACACAGTCTGTCAGCTGTTATCATCATTTTACTACTCCAATGAGCTAGGCAATCATCTTGTCAGTGTTGACTTGAACCTGTTATGTAAAACGTGTTGTGCTAGGTGGGTACCATTGGAGGATATGGAATTATTATTCTGTATAATCTTTGACCCTCTAGTTGGGAAGCTCTGCCATCATGAGCAGACCTGCAAGTTAAGTTGAGAATGAAAGAGGGTCTGTGAAGCTGGAGTACCCAGAAAAGCCTTCATGTGGTTCATGAGACTAGAGGTAGGCTTGGGGGATACAAAGATGGAGATCAGTAAAGGACAACCCAGATGAAGACTATAGCAGGAGAAAAGTACTGGAGGCAGAAGCCACATCAGAGAATAAGCTCTGCTAGAGTGGTGAAGAGGGCAAGCCTTGAAGGTTGACTGCCAGATCATGTCCTGGCTCAGCATTTTCTATCTGTGTAACCTTAGGCCAGTTATGGTAATTTCCCCTCTTTGTTGTGAGGATTAAATGAGCTAATGGATGTACAAGGATTTGAAAGAATGGTTGGCACAGAATCAGTGTTCAATAAATATTATGATCAGAAAGGACTGGCTGGAGAAACAAGATTTGCATTCATTCATCTATTCATTTCTGCACAAAATCTTGATTGGATATCTACTACGTGTGAAGCCCTGTAGGGTGTGAGGTTTCCTATTTATGGTAGTGTGAGATCTGGTGAGGAGTTCCAGGCAACAACTCCTTATTCAATACACATTTGCTGAGAATCTGCCATATGTTAGGTGTAGCATAAGATGATAGGTTGGGACATAACCCCCACCTGGCAATGGCTGACGGGGAAAGATAGACACACCCAGCATTTTCCATCGAAGGACTTTTTCATGCATTTTTCTTCTTCTAGTGACTTATACAGAGAAGTTAAATTTAATCCCATGTTATAAATGAGAAATCTGAGGCCCAGGGAGTTTCCATGTCATGCTCGGGGGTACCTGACAGGTTAACAACAGAGTCCAGGACCAAGCCAGGCTGCCTCAGTTTATGGAATGGCACCAGCTTCTTTGGAAGGCAAACAGGGGGACCCAGACAGGAAATTGCCAACAAGTGATAGGCTTAAAAGTTGAAGAAGGAGTTATTAGAAGCAATGGACAAAATGGATTTAGAGGAGGAGACCAAAGCAGAGACCTGCCCGGAAGCTCCACAGTGAAGCCAGGTGAGACAAGAAGAGCTGAGCCTGTGTTTCTCAACCATTCTTAACCTACAGACCACCACCCTCCCACTTTCGTTTGGAAAAATAGCAATTTTAAATTTTCTTTGATGTTATTCACAATTTCAAAAATAATTATATGTTGTGGCAATGCCAAATCAAAGTAATAAAGCAAAACACGGCTCTTCATTCAAACATGTCTTTCCTGCCAAAACTGGCTTCCACGTGGAATTATGAGATTTTTATTTACTTCTTCTTTCTATCTATGAACTTTCCAACACTGTGAGATGCGCTGGCCTATCCTAAAATGTTAGAAATGGGCATAGATAGAAAAGGATGAATGTGAGAGATATCTCAAAATAGGAGGATTTTATACTTGACAAAATGGTTAAAAAAAAAAATAGATCGACACCTTTGAGTGTTCTAATCTATGTGTCTGAAAGATTGGTCAATCACACAGAAGGTGATAGAGTAAGTGGGTCAGGAAGTCAGTCTTAGGTTTCAGGTGTGGGCATGGTGAGAAGCCGTGTGCAAGTTGGATGAACATGACAATGACCATCTCTCGGTGAAAAGCCATGTCAGGGGTTTATTCACAGGTCACATGGCAGTGGGGTGCTTGTCATGGAAGCGTACATGAGGAGACCGGCCTAAGAAGGAGTCTAATTTTTCAGAAAAAGTTTCCTGTAGAGTTAAATGTGGTAGAATGTGGATGAGCTACACAAATGTCACTAACACAAGGCATTTGTTTAATGGCATTTGCTGTGTTCATCAAGTCCCATCAGAGAAGAGGCACCATTTAGTTATATCAAGTCAAATTTAAAGTCATTGGGACTTTGACTCAGTTGGCATGGAGATGCTGTGGGGGTGGGGATAACAGTGTTAGAAGAAACAGGACATCATTTTAAATGGAAAAACACTGGACCAAGAATCAGGGAATCTAGCTCCAATTGCAGACTTTGGGAAAATTTTTTAATTTCCCTTCATCTCTTCTGTAAATATTATTGATGGTGGTGATGATGATGATGATGACAATGATGATGATACCTAACATTTGTATATTTTGTTTCAACATTTTTTCTAGCTTTAAAAACTGCACTGTTATAAACAAATAAGTATATTTTCTCATTCCCAGAAAGTACAAATTTTCATAACTTTTGGAGCATGACCAACTTCCCACTGGAATTCATTCCAGCATATCTTTCACACATGTGTTGCTCCCCACAGATTAGTATTTCTAATTAGAAAAATGAGTAAGGTGCAGACAAATATGATGGTCCAACAGCTGTAACACCTAAAGAACACGTATTGTTCAAGTTACTGCAGAACTAGAATAAGTCAGCAATTTCGCTCTGCTCTTTAACAGTGCAATGAAAATCCCACAGTCTAGATTCCATGAGAAAAAAATACCTAGTCAAGATAGAACTGCACAAATCTGTAAGTCTCATATCTGGTTCTGTAACAGTTAGCTAAGCAGAATTTCAGACTCGCAAGGTTCATTGGTTAAGTCTAATAAAATTATTTGATTAAAGTTTTTCACTGGGCTAATAATAGCTTCAAATTTCTGGGATAATAAATGTGAAGAGTCTGACTTTACGCTTACAATCTCCCTCCTTAGTCATCCTCTTTCATATCTACTTTTTAGCACTATCAGTTTCTGAATTTATCTTATTTTAAATCTTGTTTACATGTTCATTATGTGTCTGCTCTCACTAGAAATAAAACTCTTTGAAGGCAGAGATTCTATCTTAATTATTGACACATAGCAGGTGCTTAATATTTGTTGACTGCTTGATGGGACACTAGGGCCTCAATAAATGGTAGGTAAAATAATCATTACTTCCTAAAATAAAGTCTAGGACACAAATAATCTAGCTCACTGACTATTTGTTAAAATAAAATAGTTAAAATTATCAGGAGAAAACAAAACTGTTTCATTTTGACAGTCATTAACCTAATTTATATATGAGTGGCAGAGGTTGGGGAAAACAACATTTAACAGGTCCTGAAGGTCTAGTTTTGTCCAAATATCCCATTCCTAACGTTATGTATGTATTAGGATATTGGTTCAGCCACTGGAGACAGAGAGAGATAATAATCACTTAGGTAGATGTTTATTTTTCTCCCATGTAAAGGTTGAGTTCTGCTGTGACAGCCCTCCTCCATGGAGTGATTAGAGACCCAGGTTTCTTCTGGGGTTTTTTTTCTGCCATTCCTGGGGTATTGCTTTCTTCTCTGAGGCTGAAGATGAGTTCACCAGTGTGACTAGCTGGTAGGAAGGAAAAAAAAGTGAGCAGGAGAGCAAAGCCCTGCTTTTTAAGGATATGACTCAGAAATTGCACACTTTCGCTCATATTCCATTGATCAGAATTTAATCACTTGATCATATTTAGCTACCAAAAAAAGCTGAGAGCTGTACTATTTATTTGCAGTAAAACTGTACCCACAAAAAATTCAGAAATTCCATTACTACAAAAGAAGGGGTGAATGGTTTTTGAGGGACAATCAGAAAGTTTTGCCATAGCCTCATTTGCAAAGAATAAATGAATTTCTAGTAATGATAAAACACAATGTTTTAAAAAACATTCAAGGATGATTCAAGATTGAATAAAATATCTAATTTCTTCTCTACACAAATATGGAATCTTTTCTCTATACTTAAAGGGGAGGAAATAGACATGACTCCTAAATATTTTATCTATTAATTTAAACTTTGCCACCTAGTTTCCAGGGGTAAAAGTATATGAGGAAAACTTTCTAGAATAATATAAATAAATAAAGAAGAATAATAAAAAATATTTACTGAGTTTTCTTATATTTATTTTAAGCACCTATCACAGACTGCCTCTAAATAGACTGCCTTTTTCTCTGAAATCACTTAAATTTAACCATTTTTCTTCTAATTTCTAAAGAGTAAAATTAGAGAGAGAGATATCTTATTCTAATATTTGATTTCTCTTCTACTAACCCTTTCCTAGAGAAAAGCCTATTTGCCTTATGTTGCTATCAAAAAAGTTTATAAATATAAAGTTACATGGAGAATATTTAAACATTAGAGACACACTGTAAAACTTGAGAAAGAAGAAGTTTAAATAACTCTTAATCAGCTAAGGCCACCTTACCAAAACATCATAGATTTGGTGGATTAAACAACAGAAATTTATTTCTCACAGTTCTGGAAGCTGGAAGTCCAAGATCACATAGCCTCCCAATTCGGTTTCTGCTGAGAACTCTCTTCCCAGCTTACACATGGCCACCTTCTCAGTGTCCACATGTGGCTTTCTCTATGATGTTTCTTCTTATGATGCCACTAATCCTATTGGATCAGGGCTCCACTCCTATGCTTTCATTTATTCTTAATTATTTCCTTATTCCAAATACAGCCATATTGGGGGGTTAGGATGTCAACATATGAATTGAGGAGTGGGACATAATTTAGTCCAGAGCAATGGCAAATGCTCTTTTTCTGGTTATGTCTACCTTTGCCAATGACCACCTAGATGAGTCAAGAGGCAAAAATGCTGTACGTTCAACATCTTAGTCGAAACCATTACAAATATTATACAAGTCATCTTAGACCCACATGAAATGCATCATGCATACAATGTCTTTAAAGTCATGAGCTTGGGCTCTTATCAAGTCTCTGCTTCAAGAAGAAATCAGTCCAACAGTAGTGCAGTTTTCTGACCCACGTCTTAGGAGCGCCCTGAGCTACCAGCCTGGTATGCCAGGATTCCTGGCCTGTTTTGTTTTCTGAGAGATTCTTTCGTCTAAAAAAACCTTCTGCTTACTATTTCCAACCCCAATTTCACCTTCTTTCTTTCCTCAGAAAGTACCAGATTCCTAGATGTTTATCTGTTTCTCTTTGATGATTTCCTCTTAGTTACGAAAACTAAGCGCAACAAAAAGGTAAAATGCTGCTATTTTTAAATAAGTCTGCTAAATAAGTTTAGAACTATTTCCAAAAATGTTGTGTTAAAAAAAATAAGAAATTCTTATACATCAAATTGAGAGATTCATCCTCTAAAAAAATGGAGACATTATAAAATATTGGCTTTTTCAGTCATATAGTTCTGAAGTAAAAAATAACAATAATGAAAGCAAGTTACATTTCTTAAGAATGTCAAAGGACACGTACATTTTTAGAATAACAGCCTGTACACTTTCAAGGTAAGTCCCAGAAGCCACAGGATTTTATTCCTGACCTGCCTAAGCAAGTGAAACCAAAATTCTTTTGTTCATATTGGCCCTTTCATCATCCAAATTGTCCACCACAATGAAAGCTGCCAAAGTGGGGGAACTCTCTAAACTGTCTGCTGCCATGTGCCCAGGTGATATCCACCACTCCTTCTGATTTAAAAGCTCACATCATTCCTGGAAAATAATGATTTGGGGGCACGGTGGAGGAAGCCCTGATCTCGTGGTATCCACCCGGATGTAAGAACGGCAACAGCCAAACAAATGTATAGCTGGCATCACAGACAAAATGAGTCACTTGGAGTTAAAGCCACAAAATCTCTTCTGAAAACAGGGATTTTTCCCATTACTTACGTATTAATGGCTACTGCTATTGTTGTATCATGGTCCACTAAAGGCTTTCTATCTTAATTTCCCATGTCACAGTCTGTCCCCTGAAAGGTATAAAGAAGTGGTATCATGAAGAGAGGGTCTTCTGTAAGGCACTCAGGCACCTGTCTTAGAGGTGGGAGGAATAGCTCAATATGTCTTAAGCCATCAGAGATATCTAATGTTGTTTCATTCACCCACTTCTTTGCCAGATGACTAGCTTTACACAGATGCAAGATCATGAGACTAGATATCTCATATCTTTTAATAACCTGAGCTTCTGGATGGCATGTTGGTTAGTTGAGCTAAATAATTTAAGGATTTTTAAGCAATAAAATAGACACTCATTAATCTGTGAATAGTTGAATGATCATTGGAAAGGAAGTAGCTAGTGGAGAATATTAAGAATCACAGGTTTGAAACTTGAATGGCCTCTTCTCTTAAGCTATCCAGACTAGCATGTCTGAACAGCTCAGGCTCTGAAAATCTCTATCCCTTCCAAAAGCTTGACACTAAGCACAGCTAATTTCCTTTCAAATAATGACTCAAACCTGAGTTAAAGGTGGCCCACATTCACCATATTATAAGGTAATATTCTGGTTTCATGCTTCACAACTTGATCCCAAAATAAGAAATGTTACGTTTTAAATCCTTCCTTAAATTACTCTGTCTAGTAAATCTGGAGAGTTTTGTTGACTTCATAGGCACAAAAATAACCACCCAGAGAAGACATGGGGTTTTACTTATTTTGGAAGAGGGAAAAAAAAGAATGCTATCTGTTTTAAATTTGTCTTTGCAATTTAATGCACCTGTTTTTAAAAATTCAACATCTTATATATTCAAAATAATTTCAATTATTTATAAATTATAGAGCATGGAATCTATTTCAAGTTTAGTATTTGATCCCATGACAGAGTTGGCCAAAAAAATGAGGCTCCCCTTTCTCATTCATCTCAGTACTGTAGAGAAATACTGGAAATGAAGAATTTCCCACTGATGTGATAGTGATTAACATGCTTCCCAATTGTAGATGTCACACATTATTTATTCAGGTAATTAAATTTAGGTATCAGAAAACTGTGCTGCAAATCACTATGTACTTTGAGAAAATGCTTTTCAAGACCGAGAAAGAACAGTAAGCTGGATTTCAAGCAATTGTTTCTAAAAATCAATATGCTTAAGGATACAATTTAGGTATGTGCACCAATGCTTATTTCCTATTAATTGCATTATTTCCCTCTTTAATTTCAGAAAGTTGGAGGTTCAGACAGCAGTTTAATATGTCATTCTCTTACTCCTGAGCTGCAAACAGTAATAAAAGAGGGTGGTTCCTGTACAGTACTCGATCAGCCCATTCCACTCGACAGATTGGTAGTCAAGAGTATTGATCCACTCCATATGTCAGGTACGTGTCAGTTTTCATCATTCAGTTTATCTGTTTGCCATCGCGAAGTTTTATACTGGCCATTTTTGGTAACAGCACATGAATCCAATTTAAGTCTTCATAAAAGACAATACCGAGTTTCTATGCAGCTATATATCATTCAATCCACAAATTCATTATGGAAAAAATGTTGGACTTGGTTTCCAGTGCTTGGATGACCCAGCTCTGCCACTTGCTAGCTATGTGACCATAGGCAAGGAGCTTAAATTTTCTATGCCACAGATTTCTCTTGATAAATAGAGATAGCAATATCTAGATCAGTGGATTGTCAAGAGAATTAAATGAAATAATGTATGTAAAGCACTCAAATGATAGCTATTTTTAGTATGGTTATTACCATTATTAGTACTGTTCCTATTGATAAATCCCTAGTACACCACAATGTGTTATATAAGCCTAAGATATTTTATTATAATAGCTCTATAGAAAGAAATATGCCAGAAATAATCTATCATATCTCTCTCTCTCTCTCTCTCTCTCTCTCTCTCTCTCTCTCTCTCTCTCTCTCTATCATCTACCTACCTACCTATATACATCTGTGTGTGTGTGTATGTATAGGTAGGTAGGTAGGTAGGTAGGTAGGTAGATAGATAGATAGATAGATAGATAGATAGATAGATAGATAGATATCATGGTAAGAAAT